CAGCTCGTTTTAGCTCGAAATAAAAAATTTATATAACAATATATTACATATATTATTTTTATAATAATATATTATATACATTTATGTCTAAATTTAAATCATTAAACCTCATGCGGCAATGTGGTTAGTGTTTTTTTTTTTGTATATATTTGATTCAGGTTCAAATCCCACACTTTACATTTATTTTTCTCAATTTAATTTTAACGTGCCAATTTTGAGCCGAACGCGAGGTGAATACGAACACGAATATTTAAATCGAGTCAAACACAAACACACTCTTCACGAGCCTATTTCGAATATGAGCCAATTTCGAACACGAGCTATTTTGAACCAGCCGAACACAAGCCAAGTCTGAGCTCGTTCAAGCTCGTCTCGTTTATAGCCCTAATTGAGACGATCAATTTAATTATAAATTTGATGAAATTGAAACCAAGACACTCTAGAATTTAAATTTAGAAGATCTTCTATAAAAAATAAATCTAGATCCTTGCTCCATAAAAATTTATTGCTACCACATCAAACATCACCATTACTCAATCAATACATTTCATAAAATAAGCATTTCATGTCTCTACACGGAAGCTCCTCAAAGCTTCCTTGCACTTTTAAGTGCATTTTATACTCAACAGAACACATTTCCTCGTCTTCCACCACTATGTCTAAGGACGAACAGCCGTACATCGTAATGCTCCCTTTCATGGCGCAGGGACACCTCATCCCCTTCCTCGCCCTCGCCCGCTTGATCGAACGCCTCAAACCCTACTGCTCCATCACCATCGCCACCACCCCTCTCAACATCGAATCCCTCCGCTCCTCCCTCCCTCCCAACTCCTCCATCCACCTCGCCTCCCTCCCCTTCTCTCCCACCGAGCATGGTCTTTCTCCCCACACCGAGAACACCTCCTCCATCTCCCAAACCGACTCCATCCCCCTCCTCATGTTCGCATCCGAAACCCTCGCCCCTGATTTCGATCTCCTAATCTCCAATCTCACTGCCCTCCACCGCCACCCGCCTCTCCTTATCATCGCCGACCTATTCACCGCCTGGTCCCTACCCATCGCCCGCAACCGCCGCATCCCACATTTCTCCTTCGCCACTAGCGGCTCCGGCACCGCCTCCTTCATGTCTCTCTGGCTACACCTCCCCCACCGTCTCACCGATTCCGATACCTTCCAGATCCCCGGCTTTCCCGACCGATTTCGTCTCCACCGATCCCAGATGTCGGACTACATGCTCGCCGCTGATGGATCAGATGACTGGTCCGTCTTCCTCAGACGCCATATTCATTTGTATTTGACATCGGACGCTCTGCTCTGCAACACGGTGGAGGAAATCGAACCCTGCGGGGTCGATCTACTCAGGCGGATCGCCGGACTCCGTGTATTCTCAGTTGGGACAAGCAGAGCATGCGGGATTGAGATCGATCCTTGTATCGAATGGCTTGAATCTCATCGGCCGTCTTCGGTGCTTTACATCTCGTTCGGATCGCAGAACACGATCGGAGAGTCGCAGATGATGGCGCTTGCGGAAGGGCTGGAGGCGAGCGGGGTGGCGTTCATCTGGGTTGTCCGGCCGCCGCATGGATTCAATATGAACGCCGAGTTTGAAGCAGAGAGGTGGCTTCCGGATGGGTTCGAGGCGAGGATGGCGGAGAAACGGCGGGGATTGGTAGCGCGGAGATGGGCGCCGCAGATTGAGATATTGTCGAATAAGGCGACGGGGGCATTTATGAGCCATTGCGGGTGGAATTCGGTGATGGAGAGTTTGAGCAAAGGGGTTCCGCTGATCGGATGGCCGGTGACGTCGGAGCAATTCTATAACTCGATGCTGATGGAGGAGGAGATGGGGGTTGCGATGGAGATGGCGAGGGGGGTGATGGGTGAGGTAGATGCGGGGATGGTTGAGAGAGTGGTGAGGATGATTATGGAGGGGGAGAAGGGAAAGGAGATGAGGGAGAGAGCGGCGAGGTGTGCGGAGATGATTAGGGTTGCGGTGGAGGAGGAAGGGGAGAAGAAGGGGTCTACGGTAAGGGCGATTGATGAGGTTTTTGAGTTAGCCATCAGAGGAAGCTCCGATGTTAAAAAGGGCTTTGGAAGAGATGGAGAATGATAGAGATGTTTTATCTATGGTTGCTTCCGTGAGTGACTGTGATGTTACATTCCAGTGAATCTTTTAATGTATTTATATACAAATTTTGAGTGCTGAGTATTTTCCGAGGAAGCTATGTTTGGTAAGTCAAAAAATAGCATCTTAGTGTAAATAATAATATTTGTGATCTTTTATATAAATATATATATATATATATATAGGGACAATATATATACATGTAATTATATCCCAACTAGAAATGAGCATTTTTAATTTTATGTTTTCAAATACACAAAACCTCATGATGAGAATACATGTTTGATATGTCACGAACAAATTTTCATCATTCAACATGAATCTCGAAGCATAACACAAATCTCAAAATAATATTATAAGCAAGAAACATTTAAATCTTAATAAAAAGTCATCCAGAGCTCTGATTTCCGTAAACTTATAGTCAAACTGATCAGTTCGATAAGGTGGACCTAATGATATTGAAACTAGTCCAATCCGAGTCCAATCAAGCATAGATCAAGTCATCAAACCACCCTTGGACAATTTTTTGACACATTTGGAATGTCAAACAGATGTTGGCACTGGCAAGTTTACAGTCGAATTGAGCGGCTCGACAAGACGAATCCGACGAGCTTAAGATCACTCAATTCCGACATAGTTAAGGCACTCAAATGTCCATTAAACGTGGCATGGTCGAAGGAAACTCTCTGGACCGTTTGATCAAAATGGTTGATATTCCTGCATTAATTGCACCCCGAATACTATAAATAGACCATGACCCCTCACATGGCAAGGAGTTGAAGTCTAGAGAGAGTTTGAGGCCTTGAGGAGAAGCTGCAACTCAGCACTACCGCGACCTCCGTCAACAACCACCGCCAACCGCCGTCGACCACTGCCGATCTCCGACGACCACCACTGACCGTCATCGACCACCGCCGACCGACGTCGACCTCTGACAACCTTCATCGAATACTACTAACCATCATCGATCACCACCAACTAGACGCTGTCAATTGACGTTGTAATCTAAAAAATATAGTTACCATTTCCCATCTGTGGGATAAGGGATTTATGTAATCAACAATCAATAGTGGATTTCCACAACTGGGCGAGACCCCGTGATTTTTCCCTTATGGGTTTTCCACGTAAAAACTTCTGGAGTCATCACCGTTTGTTTTCTATTTCATCTATGTGTGTGTTGAACTTACGTACAACGCTAAGACGATAGTCCATTACTCTACCGCTGCGAATTTTCTAGCAGGCATCAGTTTGGCGTCGTCTGTAGGAACTGTCAATCCCACCACCGAAGTACTTGCTCATTTTCCTACATGGCCACCAGACACAATATTCGAGACAACGGAGCAACTCGCTCTAACACTCATCGTTCCAGGATACAATCATGAAGTCAAGGACGACATGTTTCTTTATCTTCCCACCATGAAAGATGTTATCAACCCAATTAGAGGGTTTCAGGTCCTTCTATGGAAGAACAAATGCACATAATAGAGGAGTCTCAACTGAAGATCATACAATGCTTACGAGGGACCCAACAACCACTATTCACACCAATGAACAAAACTGGTTTACCATTAAATCCTCAACCTATTAGAAACATACCACCCGGAGGAACTTCTACTGGCCCCTCTGCTCAAAAAAGAACAGTTCCCTTGCCAGACCCTTGTCAGGTTGTGATGCTGAACTCCTAGACACCGCAGGTTCCACTCATCCATCTCATGTGAATCCCCTGGTACCACCATGTCTTACTACCGTCCCAGATGATTTCATCCGTAACGAACTACGACGCCTCGTCCGAGAGGAGTTCCCCCTAGAGAAAAAAGATCGCTTTCACACTCACCATAATTGTTGGCATCAGATTTTGGATGTCTAAAAAAGCATAAATTATTATTTTGACCCAAATTACTTGAAAAAGTGGTCCGAACGACCTCGAACGACGAAACAGACTACGCGAGTGAGTCCGAAATGTCGATTCCACTTAGGACGGACGCTCGTTGTATCACGGTTTTGTGTGCGGGCTAAAAATGCGTGAATTTTTCTTTTCGTCCTGATTGCTAAAATAAGTGGTCCGAACGACCCCGGACGACTAAATAGACCACACCGGTGCGTCCAGAACGTCGATTTTACCTAGGGGAGAAGTTTATTTCGCTACGGTAACGTGTTCGGCAAAAAAAGACGTGGAGAGGTAATAATAATAATAATAATATTATTATTATAATAATAATAATAATAATAATAATAATATATTTATTATCCTTTTAAAACCTACGTAACTCTCTCTCTCTCCACTCTCTTTCTCGCCTGTCCGATCCGCCCTCTCCTTCCTCCCCGACGTCGGCAGCCCCTCCTTCGGCCCAAAAATTTCCTTCACGTGCCCTAGTCCGCCGTCCCTCGGTCTCGGCCTTCCTCTCTCGTCAGCGACGCTTCGCCGGCCCTGTTCAGCGCCGACAACCAGATCCAGCCAACCTAAGCCCCTTTCTGCACAAAGATCCAACCTTCTCGTAGCCTTTTTCTTTTCTTCTCTTGGTTGGCTGAGCTTCGACCTCCTGCCTCGTCGCTGATGTACCGCCGACACTCCTCGCAACAGATAGAGATACAAAACTCCCATTTTTCTTCTCTGTTAGTTTCCTCCTCTGTCCTGAACTACTCATATCCAAAACTTGGGAGGCAGAAAGAAAGAGAAGAGTGTAGGTGAGCTCGTTGCATAGAATCCTCATGCAAAATTTATGTGATTCCTTGCGTGAGAAGTTTGGGCATGCTTAGTCCCGAGCAACTTCTCTCGCGAAGGTATATTTTGGTTATATTTTTTTTATATGCCAAAATTATTATTTTTTTTTGGTTGCTTTGCATACCTCACTGATTCCCCTCCTTGTTTCTCCTCGTTGCATGATTCATTGTGAGATGCACTGGAGCACGGACTGGACGTCGACGACTTGGAGCAATTAAAGAGAACGCGCCTGCAACCTTAGGTTTAGTGGTGTCTAGGCGTGTGGGTTCGATCGCCCACACGGGGTGCGTGAGCCGGCATGGGGTCGGCGCGACGACGTGCCTGCGTGATGGATCGTCGATTTCCTAGAGCTAACATTTAGGTTAGGACTTCCTGTGCGTAACCAAACGTCATTCGTAGAGCCGAGTGTCTCCCCTTTGTTGTGAGCCTTAGCACAAGTCTCAATGGGTCGGAGTCCCTCACTCCCCTTGCTTTGGGTTTCCCTAGCTTTACTTGGAGAAGTTGGGAGGTCGGACTTGGTAAAGCGAGAGAAGCTTTGTAG